TGGCTTCAAGGCCTCAGAAAGATGAAGACACTCCAGGCAGAAGCCCATCCCCGCCAAGTTCAAGACGAAGGCCAAGCATAACAAGCCGGCCGTCACGGCGTCTCGCAGCTCATACATCCACACGCGACGGGCGCGGTGCAAGGGGGCTTCGTACACGTCGATGCGCCAATCGCTGAGGACCAAGCCCAGGCTGGCCAATGTGCACAGAAGTTGGAAACGGATGAGGGCCAGCAGGCCCATGCAGAAAGTAGGAGAGGAAGAGGGTGCCGGCTCAAAGAGCGAGAGGGAGGGGAAGGAGGAGGAGGGCAAGGAGGAGGAGAAGAGGAAGTGAAAGGAGGAGAGGAGAGAGGAGAGGGTGGAGGGGTGGGGGGGGCGGGCGTGAAGGAGGAGCGCGTAGAGCGGAATGACGAACCACGTTCCTGCAACGAGGACAAGATGAATTGCCAAGCGCTTGCGTCCAAATGAGTCGCTGTGCGTGAAAGATTGTACACGGTTCTTGAGTTTCCCCCACCCCTGTTGCGTCGATTGCCCTTCCTTCTTTCCACTTGCCTCACAATCTCACGGAAACGCCATTCATACGCCAGACAAAACCTGGAGAGGCGGACAGAAGCTGTTATGCATAAGAGGACAGAGAATCCCATCCCAATCGAGCCTACAGCCAGGCGGCTTTGATTATCCACAGGAAGCTCCATCCCCGCGCCCATGGCGACAAGCGCTTGTGCGATGGCCTAGAAATGTACCACGGATTGGACGCACTGGTCTTGCAGGACTGGATCAATGGCGATTATGTGGCATCAATCGCAGATGAGATACATCATAGTCTGGAGTAGCTGTGCAATGGACGGGAGAAAGGGGGTTCGAAATTAGATGGTGACTTCAGTCGAGGAATCAATGTGAAGTGCGGGTGACACCCGCGATTATCAAATATTATTCATGAAAGTGAAGACCCAGGTAAACGTGTGACTCAAATTAATGTCACACACATACTCCGCGTTTATCTTTCCTGTCTGCCGGTCAAATGGGGCATTTTACCATTTTTTGGGGTCCCGACCTCGAAATTTTGGCGCGAAAACGTCTGGTTGAAGCCCGGTTGCCATGTTGCCGGCGTCTCAGCCAGGCCTCTCGATTACCCCCACACGTTCCAAACACGGTACCCCTGCACCTTTTATTCAGCAGAATCTCGTTTTCTCGCACGCCGTGTACAGGGACAAGACTTTGCTCAGCGGGCACGACTGTACGCAGGGAAGTAACAGTGACCAATGGCGCGAATGAAGCAGCACCAGCTTCGACACCACCACGTTCTACGTGCCGCATGTCTGCTGCTGCTTGTTTCGATTACGGGCATTGCTGCATTCAAACTACCTTACAGTCATTGCAATTTTGTCCAAAATCACATGCAAGCCCGTAAAGGTGCGTGGGGGCAAAGATGAGAGGGAAAGTTGTGATAAAAGACATGTCTCGGGTCGCCCCCCCGGCGGGGGCCTGATCCGTCCCTTCGTCGCACTCACGCTTGGCCTCTTGTCTCCATGTTCTATGCCTTTATGACCTACAGGGAGGGTCTTTATGAATCAAGCATCAGATGACTGCGACCGCAGGAGCCTTTTGAGCGCAGGCGCCGTCCTATCCTCCTTTTTTGCCCTTTCCCTCTCTTCGACCCCGTACGTGCATGAATGGGACACAATTACTGGGCACTGAAGGTCATCTGTGCAAGCCTTGCGCCTTACATGAGTGTAGTTGAAAAGACGAAGCGTGCAATGCCAAGCATGCTTGCGTTGGGCCTCTTTTCCCTCATTCTACGTTGTCGCCCACCATTCCCCCCTGTACATATCCTGGCTACCGTCGTTTCCCCCATCTCCCCACCTCTCTCAACCAGTCCCGCCAGGGCCTCCGTGGCCTTTGATCCGGACCGCTACGGCGACAAGGAATTGAAGATCGCCACCGTGAACAAGCTGAAGCAGAAACTCCGTAACGCCATTGCGGGCGATTTGTCGCTGGCTGTTTCCTTTGTGCGGCTGGCGATCAACGACGGTGGGTACCCGGGGGAGGAAGGAAAGAAGGGGGGGCATGTGGG